GTGTTGCCACAATTGGACACTGCTTTAGCCACAGCCCCGTTGGCAAATCACAGCTGCTGCAGTGGCCGGTGGGGTGGGACAGGCCAGGAAGCTCGCCAGCTCTTTGGGGCTGCTTTATCCAGGCTAGGGCCAGCATCTCTGCTGCACAGTGCTGAGCTCTGGAAAGCTGCACTGCCTCAGGCACAGCTTGATGCACCCCACCGCTATGGAGCGGCACCAGAATTGGAAAGTGGGGTGCTGGAGGCACCTCTGCCCTGCCTCTCAGCCTCCTGGGGGTCCCAAGCACCCCCCACCCTTGTCAGTGACCTGTGGAGCTTCAGCATTCCCTCACCCGACCCAGGACAATCCCACCCTGCTGCTCCCACTGCCTCCAGAACCATCACCTCCTTCTGCCTCACCGCCTTTCCATTCCCAGCCCAGGAGCAGAGGGTGGCCTTTCCCCCTCCAGGCAGGATGCATAGCCAGCAACCCTGGGCTGGCCCTCCTAGCGAAATGTACTTCCAGCGTGAAGCACCACAGAAATCCCAAGGCCGAGCAGTCCCTCCCCTGCAGGACTGTTTCTTTTCATCAAAAATTTTCTAGCAGCAACAAAATTTAACATGGCTGGTGAACAGGTTTCAAGAGTGGAACTGAAATGAGCTCGTGCAGCAGGACTGTTGCTCCGCTGGCCTGACCATATCCTGAGGAAGTTTTGCCTGGTGACTGACGGAACCTCACAGCAGCAGTGACCCCATTTATGAGTTTCTACAGTGCTGCTCTCCATTTCCTTCAGAGCAACGTTCACCTGCTTTCAGGTGAGCTATGTTTTCAAGCTGTGTCATGAAACGTTCAGAGAGAACTAAGTGAAACTCACTGCGGCTTCACCTTTCCCTCAGTGCTGTGCGTCCTGAATCAAAATACTTCACGCTCTCTGTTCAAGAAGTAATTTTATTGTTTCCATGGGACAGGTTTCACTGTGAGTGACAAGGACAGTGAGCTAGGCAGTCTCTCTCATGATCTGGGTGAGTTTCTGGATCTTTGTCCTTGTTGACATGTCCACGTACTTCTCCCCAATGTTGACAATCATGCCACCAAGGATGGCCGGGTCAGTCTAAAGGAGAAACATTGAACAGAAAGTCTATTAGCAAAACTCTGTAAGCTCAACATCCAATATTTTCACTGGTAAAAAAAGAGAAAAAAAAAAAGCTTTTAAAGAGCCTTAAATAACTTTGCAGTCACTGTATTCCAAAGTCAAGATTTTAGTAACTAAAGCATCATCAGGCCTACAGGAAAGTAGACATCTATGTAATACAGCAACTGGATTCAGTGAAATTATTACTTTAAGATCAGAGAGACAGAAGCCCAGCTTAACATGAACTTGCTGAGATTTATTTACAGATCAAAAATTCAGACCTTGGTCTCCAGCTTCAAGACCTCTCCCTTAGCCAAGAATCCACTCAGAGCACTTTTCAGCTCAGTAAGGCTGGCATCATCCAAGGGCTGAAAAATATGAACAGAAGACAAGGAAAATGAAGGACTTGAAAATATCCAAGTGATATAACGAGAACACAGATTTTCTCTTCACATTCTTCTAAAGACAGACATTTGTACCAGGGAGGGAAATTAAGCGGCCTTCTTGAACAGGGAAAACTGAAGGACAGCACAGAAACACAGCAGTCACTTTGTGCCCCCTTAATTAACTTCATTAAAGTTGTGTTCTTTGTGCAAACTTTTGATGCTGACATCTTCAGATGGTGTCAGGAATCCGTGTACCTGCCAAAGTAAGGACCTGATGGAAAATCTTGGTCTGCCTCACAACAGCGTTCGGGTTGTACAAGAAAAGATTAATTTTGCTGCTTCTAGCAGCTGAGATCATAGGCTTGAGAAGAAACAGGATTCCATGTAAAGCACTGGGCAGTGACTGAGGACTTGACAGCGAGCTCCAGTCCTGCTGCAGGCTTGCAGAGTGCTCCTGGCTAAGTACACCTCTCTCCATCACCACAGGAGCTGGATCTAGAGGTTCCTAACTCACCTGTGCAGTGGTGACTGTGCACAGCACTTCTCCTCTGTATGCACTCATTATCTTCCCAAATGCAGAGACAATGTCTGGTGTGAAACGCAAGCGACCGTTTTCAGCCAGCAAATCTGGAAGAGGCAGATGCATTGGAAGGGGTTAAAGCAGCCACTAGAAGAAGGGTTAAAACCAGCCACTAGAAGCAGTTTTGGTTAGCTAACAGTAATAACAAGTAGCCTTACATGTGTTTTTGAAGTCAAATGGTTACTCACTCATCAGGTTGACAGTAATAGGGGACATCTTCTCTTTCGCTAAGGCATCATTCACAGCTTTCTGTTTAACTGCGCTCTTGGTGTGAGGGTTCATAACAACACTGGATAGCTTGGGATCCTTCAGGAGGGTCTAATAAGACACACAAAGATCCACAAACAATGTAACGAAGGCCAGGAGTTTCCAGGCATTACAAGGTCCAACTGGACTACCCAAAGCAAGCAACATGGTCATTCCTTGAGGAAGAATAAAGAGATCTGAAGCTGATGGGAAGTGAAACAGCAGCTCCAGGTGTAGCTCATTCACAACATGTTTCTTTTAGCGCTGATGCTCCTCCTGCGTCTCTTCCAAGCTCCTCAGCAGTGGGTGCGCAGTGCAGGCAGCACGCAAGCCTGGCCAGCTCCGAGTGGGAGT